TTTGGCTTGTATTCCCGTGCTGATGTTTGTTTTGAGGGAGCGAGTTGTGCGCTGGGTGTGTTCTACCATGTCAGCTCTGTTTTTGCAGGTTCTTTCAGTTAGTGTGGGAAATCTGCTCTTGTACAAATCTAAAATTTTGGTTACAGCTCGGCGAGTTGGGGTGTTTGTTTTTCAGACATTTGTAGTGTGTTGCTTTCATATCCTCCAAGCTTTTTCTAATTTTGTCACATTACAGGGACACATGTTAGTGAGTTAGAATTTCATGGGAACAATACAAGGTTGTGCATAATCTTAAAATGGATGGTAAAAGTGTAATGTACTTTTGTATTTAGCCCTATGAATAAATCTCTTAGAACGACCATGTGCTGTAATTACAGCTGCAAGAATTTCCAGTGTACGCCTTTGCAGGCTTTCTTTCCCTCCAGATTTTGAATTTTACACATTCCTTTATGTTGGCTCAGTCAGATTAAAAAAAGAGAGCATTTTTACATTAGCTTTTAATTCTTGCCACAGATTCTTTATTAGATTTCTTGTAGGTCTGGACTTTGACTGGGCCATTTTAAAATATAAATATACTTTAATCTTAACTGTTATATTATAGCTCTGGCTGTACATTTAGGATATTTGTTCTGCAGGAGGATAAACTTTGTCCCACCTCTGAAGGCTTTTGTTGGCTTTGAACTTCTTGTAGGGTTCCCCTGTATTTAACTGCATCTGTCTTTATATCGATTTTGATCAGGTTTCCTGTTCATCCTAAAGCAAAGCATTCTGACATCATAATGCTGCCACTTCCATGTTCCTCTGTGGGGATGGCATATTCAGTGTGATGTGAAGTATAACAAAGACTGTCCCCTGGATGAGGAAATTCTGACCAGGACTTTGGACTCGGAGCTTACCGAGCAGCCCCAACTTTAGTGTGCAATATGACTGCCACATATGTTGAATGTAGTGAAAGCTGCCAGAATAAACAATTTAGATGCAGTTTGTAGCGTGTTAGGCCAGTGGCCAGCATAGTGTTGTAAAATGTTTATTTGTATTTATTTGTTTATGTTTAAATGCATAAAACAATGAGAAATGCATTATTGGTTAGTATTGCTAATGGCAGTTAGCGACTTGTAAAATTTACTCAACTTGTGGGTGACGTCATTACCAGATCCCAGCTCTGATCAATGAGACAAACTGAATTAGCTCCACACATCATACTTTCAACTCTTATCAGGTTTTTTGTCCCTGCTAGAAAATAGCAAATACTGACAGCATTATTCTTCCACCTTGGTTCACAGTAGGAATTGTATTTCCAGGGATTATTTCCAGAGATAGTTTCTTTTATGGAAGTTTTCTATTCATTAGAAAAGTGACTACCAAGACTATCAATTGAGTCCTCTGAAATTATTTTAGGAGTAAATGTGAGCAGAATGCATATTCACGACACACTTTTCAAATTTTTACTAATAAAAATTTTGAAAACCATCTATCATTTCCCTTCCTTGTTACAGTCATGAGTTTCTTTGTTTGTGTATCACACCAAATCCTAAAAAAGCACACTGAAGGATTTTGACCGTAAAACTACAAAACTTCGGATGGTGTTAATACTTCTGCAAGGCACTGTAACTACGCTCTTTAACCCGTCAGACACATAAAGTAGCTTCTGAGTTTAGAAGCGGCTCCAAACTCCAGGGAGGGGATGAAAAAGTGAGGTGCCTGCTTGGCAGAGCGTGGGTCATGTGGTTCACAGAAGTAGGTCTGTTTTTCTGAACCCTGTAGCATTTAACCCCTGTGGAGTTCATGGTAACAGAGTACGCTATGAGCTTTGCTTTCCACAGTGCCTTCACCCTCAGGCTTTCTTTACTCACTTAAGCTGCAGTTCTCCAGGATTTTAACCTGGTGTTTAATAAATGCTAGAAAATCCCAAGACAGTTGCATAGACTCAACTACAGTATTGCAAGTGAAAAGTGGAGCTGTGCATCTATATTACTTATGTTGACTGGTATGTTGGGATTATTCCTCTTGTGCAAGTTCTGAGCTTTACCAGTCACCGTGGCAGTCTCTGTACAGTGTTGTTAATGTCAAGATTTGTTTCATACTTTCCACTTGTTTTTCTTTCCTTGTTTTTCCAATCACAAGGCATATAGGCATGACAAAACTGAAACTGTACAGGACAATACAATAAAACCCTAAGAAGGAAGTATCATACTATATTTGCTTGTATTCTCAGTGGGTGAGTTAGTGTGTATCCACATCAATATTTGTATCAGCTGGTAAAAAGCTGATACAAATATCGGCTTTGTACAATACAGATATTGCTGATACAATACAAATATTGTATTGGCTTGTTCTGACACATCGGTAACGGTCCAATAAGTGTCAGGTGATATGACAATGATGGAGTGCAGGATTGTGGCGTTTAACCGAAGTAGAGAAGTCATGAAGTTTGTCACTCCTGCACTTTCCAAAGTAGAGTGGAATATGCACTCTACTGACAGATGGTTAAATATCATCTATCAGCCAATATCGATATCGGCCCAAAATGTCCTGGCCAGGATTTTAAATTGTTTCACTTGTCCCCATTACTGATGTAAGTCATTTAACATAACAAAGTTTCTGAAACGAATTTTCAGTCTGACACTTTTTTTTTTTTTTTGTAAAACCAGTCTTCTGTATTTGCCTGAAAACATATTAGCTTAAGGAGCCATAAAATGACACCACATTTAATCTTGTCCTGAATATTGCTCTTTCATTAGTTGCTCCACCTCAGGCTATTTAAACTAAAGAAGTGGCCTTAATGTTCTAAAAATATGTCACTTAAAAGTGAAGGCTTTACCATGTGTTTATAAAGATACACCTGACTGGATACAGACAGGTAATACTTTATGCCCAATAAACTTGGCTCTTGCTCCTGCTAGCTTCCATTTTATGTTGATCAGTTTCTTTCTTGTTTTGATGTGAGTCTGATAATTTCCCACATTGTCGTCTATAGAAAAAAAAAAAAAAAAAACATATAGGAAAACTGAGCATTTTGCTTTAAATTGTGTGAACTTTTTCGACTGGTTTAAAGTGATTTCAGTGACCACATCATAGAGCAGGTGACATCAGACAGGATGCAGCAGCAGATCACACAGTCTCCGCTAGCTTGTTGGGGAACCTACAGATACATTTTTGAGCAAAATCTTTCCTGATTTAGTTACTGTTTTAACAAGATGTGTTTCAATTTTGACAGTTTTTGTGACATTCTATAGAGTAATTAAAAAAACAAACAAAAAAAAACCATATATATATATATATATATATATATATATATATATATATATATATATATCGCTACACCTCATTCAACTTTTTCTTTCTGGACTTTGATTGCTCTGGTTCAGATCAAAAGAAAACACTTATCCTAATGCTGAGTGCTAATCTATACTTTGAGTCTGGACTTTCAAGTAGCCTGTCAGATTTCATTAAGTTCTGAGTGTCTTAAAACATGTTTTACGTTGCAGTCTGAAGATCATCCACCGTTATTAAAAGTTAGTATGATGAAAATGTCATACTTAGCAAATCATATAGTCATATTTGGATGTATTTCTAATATAATGGTACACAGAGAGTACTGTGTACCATTCTCCGCAGAAAGGTGCACACCACCCGACCTTTGTCTGGGAAAACCGAGTATTTCATTTTGTGGCTAAGTTTGGATCTTAACTTTTAGGTTTTGTCACGACTTAAGTCTCCTTAGATGCTTATCTCGGCTCTGAAATTTCTAAAAGAACTGTACTTTCAGAACTGTACTTTGAAGTACTGAAACAGATGAGTGCAGAAAGTAGGTTTTAACTTGACAGTTTTGGGAGAATAAACATCTTTAAGCTTCTTTGAGACTGAAGGTAAAGTCTACTGAGCAACAGCTTGTAGCCAGAGGAGTTGCTGCTTTTTGAAGTCTGGGATCTCTGATGCACAGATGAGAACTATGACAGTATTTAAGGAATTTCTATTTTTGAGGTGACACTCACTGTAGAGAATGACTGGAAAAATAGTAAAAATAGAAGGAAGGAAGGGATGAAATGTTCAGATATGTGGTGGAGTTGGGATGTTAGACACTTTAGATAAAAACAATAACGTTATGAATGTCAAATATTGGTCTTTGTTTGTTTTTGAAAAGCAGGAAACAAGACGAGTTTGTTAGCGTCGCCGCTTGTCGTCGGCTGCATACTTGGCCGAGGCGGAGTCGAGACAGAAAGCTTATCAGTGTGCCACTCGCAGTATTTGTTTGTGGACGGGGTCGTGTTTTTCAGCGTGAGAGCATATTTTGTGTATACACATTGTAAGGGTGTGAGAGTGTTTACACATGTTGATGTGTGCATACACAGATATGTGGCGTCGCCGGTATGCCAAGGATGGCCCAGCTGAAGGTGGAGCTGTGGACGTGCTGTTCTCTGGCTTGTTTTTAATGCCATCTCTTTTTTCAAAGCTTTTTAGACTCTGAGCAGGAGTATTTTGATTAAAATGTAGCAAGTGTTTCAATAAGCAGAATGAAAATGAAGATAAAATAGATTATTGACTAAGGAGTTAAACAACACTCTGTTTTTCAAATATTTAGGTCGATCTCAGAATGATATAACACTTTAGCAAACAGTTTTACATTAATTTATTCTGCTGTTTGTTTTTGAACACTTCAAAGAAAGATACAAAAGAATACATGGATTCAATGCATGTGATCTGTCATATCTTTTGTATTATTCTGTGATATTTTATGATCTTGCGCAGAGGTGTTCAGCTAGTATTTGAAGCAACGGTTCTCGGATCATATTTTCATGTGCAAATTAGGAACTCTGTCTCCTCCTCTTGCTTTGGTCTCTATGTGTTAATTAGGTCAGTGCTGCATTAAAAGATAAGTCTAATGACTGCTGCTCCACTTTAAACACTGGTTGCCACAATAACAAAAAAGGAATCTAAACTACATGCCTTCTGAGGGAAGGAAAGAAGTGAAATTTGTCCTTTTTTTCTGTCCCCTGTAGGAACGAACCAGGTCATTTGACAGCTTCAATATGAACACTCTGGAGAACTCCCTGATCGACATCATGAGAGCTGAGCAAGACACCCTGAAAGGTAAACATAACAACTGAAAATCAAGAAACATGTAGACGAGCAGCAGTACGATGCTTTTCAACAAGTCTGATGCACATGGAGCAATCGAACAAAAAATACACATGCTCTTACTTATAATTAAATGTTTAGAATTTGACATAAACCCCTTTGCATGCTGCGATGTTTGGACAAGCCACTGTTAATGTTGCATTTTATGCATACTTATAAGTTGGATTTTACAATTTTCTTTTAAAAACTACAGCAAGACAACACCTGCAGACGCTGGAAGGTGGTTCCTGAGCGTCCTCAAGCTCAATAACCAGCATGACTCAATGCTCGTAGGGTTAAAGTTACAGGTACAACCCGTTAGCAATGCTGGAGGCTTGTACCCTATTAACCAGCAGTACACTTAGTAAAGTACAACTCTATGTGTGAACATGTTAATTAAGTTTGAGTATGTAAAATGGAGAGAAGTCTCATTGTTTTTCCTACTTGCAGCGAGAATGTGATGCAATTCCCAGACACAAGTTCTTACTTCCAAAGCAAACTGAACTTTATTCTTTGATTTTCATAATTTCTAAGCTTCACAACACTTTCCCAACAAATAACTAGAAAGTTTCTGTTAATCTACAAAACTGAACATTAAAATTAAATCAGTCATTTTTAATTTTATATTAAATTAATGTAATATCTTAAAATTAGCAGCCTGCGTTCAATCAATAGGAAAAATATGTTGACGTTTTGTTTGCCATCACATGATCAGTGTTAGTTGATCAAGGTCAACTGATTGTAAAAATCCCAAACTTGATTAATTAATTGCTTCTTTGCAAATGAGCATTTTATTCCATGGTAAAAACAATGTTTTTGTCTTTTGGAGAGAACGTGTAGAACCGACGGTGTGGTCTAAACTGAAATCCGTCTTGTTCTTACGTTCTCATTGCAGCCCTATTTTAAGTGTCAACAGTTTTATTAATTCATTTTGTCAAACATAAATACCATATTGTTCCAAGTGATTTTGTGTCTTTTGACCAAAATGTGTTTATAGTTTCTGATGCAGCTGTGATATTGCAAATATTTATATTATGATGATGTCTATGATTCAATACATTTTGCATTCCTAATGTTTACAAAGAGATCTTCTAATAAATCACCATTTTTAAATCACCAGTCCTGAACATTAAGTGGGAATCTTCTAGGGTGCACTGATTGCAGTTTTCTGACTGTTCGTAAATCACTGATCTTTTTAAAAAAACTTAACCTGCCAATTCCAATTTTAGCTGATACCAATTCTTTTTTGTCTGAAATGTTTCTCAGTACAGCAAGAAAGTTGTTGAATTAGCAACAGTGGGGTAACTCTTGTTAATTGTAAACGTGCAGACATAACTTGGAGGACCAGTCTGTCAGTCAGATCTTTCTCACCAGTGAGCAAAAGAGGACAGTGGTTGATTCTTAGATGTTTGCCAAGCTAGATAAGGTTGGTGGATAAGGTTGGCTTCACATGTAAAAATCGGCCGATCACAGATCTCCCAAAATTAAAGAAATCGGCATCGATAGATCGGCTGGCCGATAAATCAGTGCACCCCTAGAATCTTCCCTCTAAGGGAAGTTAGATTAGCATATTTTTTTTAATGCTAATCTATATGCAAAGCATTTCTAGCAAAATTATGCAGTAATCACAGCTGAACAATATTTGGCTAATAGTAAATCACCTTCATGATTCTTATTGATTGAAAGGGAGGACCTGTTAGAATTAGTTACACCTTTGACACAAGCTTTACTTTAGTGTAATCCTTAGAGTGCTGCATGCTAACTAAACTTGTCAACCCCAATGTCTTAGCTGTTAAATAGATTACAAGACATCAATGCCAATAGCAGCCATGTTTTAATTAATCGTTACAGATTGAGTAAAAAAATAGAAATGATGACAAAAATAAATGATTTTTAAAAGTTGGATATAACAGATTCACTCATTAACTGTTTAACATTGCTGAAGCTGAGTGGTGGTGTTGCTTTTTCTGTTTTAATATATGGCATAATTTTAAGCTCTCAACATTTGAACTGTTTAATGAAGTCCACAAGCCTGCCTCCAGAACCCAAAATTAGCGGTTCTTATCTCTGGCTCAGCAACGGGTTGGGGTTGAGACGGCTCCTTTTTTATGTTTTAGTGGAAGAAATGAGTTGGACAAAAATAGTGGCTAAGCTAACTCTGGTTTTTGTTTTAAACTGGGGGACGTTTGGTCATAAATGACTCAAAGTAGCCAGGTTTTGCGTTCTCTTTGTAATTCATCTGAACAGATTACCTTCCTTACAAAAAAGTAGGCCCAGATAAGAAAATTATTTTCTCTTTTATCCTACTGAACACAATAAAATGTCTATAAAAGGAGCCAATGCTATAATAACAAGATAATAAAAACATTGAAATACAGGCTCTCTTTTCATGAATACCTTTTTATTATTTTACAACTAAACACGCAAAGCTCATGTGCATCCAGTCGTGATTTTGTGTTTTGTTGTCAGAGCTTATAGTAGAAAATATTTTTAATATTAGAAATTAAAGTTAAAAATCCTTAGTACCATCGATGTTATGGTATCAGGTTTTTGACACAGTTTTCTTTGACACTAGCGTTTATTATGTTTATAGTAAAATGAATCACAGCACATTTTCCACCTTAGTTGCCCTAATTATTTTCTCCGTCACACTCTGGATTGTCAGTTAAATGTACAGTGCACAGTGGTGAAACCATGAAGCACACCATATCGTCTCCCGGACTTATCATCCTTTCATTTGACGTGTAGATCTTGGAAGCAATCAAATTTTACAGTCATAATTTTCATAATTATAGTGCAGCCTTGTACAATAGTATGACAGGTGGAGCTTGAGTAAATTTGCTCTTTTCTTTGCAGAGCTTGAGTAAATTTGTGCTTTTTCCCATGGAGGATAGTTAAGAAAAAACATTATTACAAGAGGTTTTCTTTGAGTGCTCACTTTTCCAATTTCTCACACAAATGCATCCATGTAGAAAGAACACAAAATAAATACAGCAAATCTTGAAATTTCTCATTTGAACTGAAAGTGTTCAACAAAAGTGAGCACAACAAAGCAAGGGAAGAGGCGAGACAAAATGTCTACAGAAGAAGTGGCTTTGAATCCCTTCCAGCATTGTTCCGACTGACAGAAAGGGTTCCTCTGTTCGTCCACCGCACATAAACACACCACTGCATTGTGCGAGGTTGTTCATACATGTGTTTTAAAGTGGACTGTTTGTGTGCAGCCAGCAGCATGCAAATAAGCTTCACAAAGCAGCCACATTTCAACCCTGCAGACACACTGGGTTATGGTGTACCTGTTTACTCCTCAAAGATTTAAAGTCCTTAATGACAGCCTGGAGCTTTGTTGGACTTTGAGTTTCAGATGGTGGAACTATGTGCACCTTGTGTTTATTACCTGGCTAATTCACATGGGGAGATAAATAGGTAAATTCTGCAGTAAAGAGTCACACTGCAGTCTTTATCTGGTTCGGGTCAGTCCCTACGGTTCTGTCTCCTCTGTTCTGTGAGTTCAGTTCGCAGAGTGTGGAGGAGGGGCCCACAGATTTCCTTGTGACAGGGGCATCGGAATGCACCAATCACCAGGCGGTCCGTACCCACACAACAATGGTTGCACTATTTCAGCTCTTTCATCTCATTATCCTTTCTGGTGCAAGCGGGCCTTGCATAACTTTGAAGATTGTTTGGCATCATAACATGTATTTGTGTGTTTGGGAGGTGGCCCTTGCAAATTGCTCAATGTAAAAAGTATGGTATGAGGATACAGATTGGAAAATGGAGTTGAATGAGAATGAGAGAGATGGTTCGTATTTTGTAGCCACAGTATCTAACAAAAAGCCAGTTTGTTGTAATTTCATATATGAAAAATACATAATGAAACTAAATTCTAAGGTATAAAAAGACCTCTGGCACCAAATCCCCGAGGTGGAGGACATTCAGTCTGGTGGTGACGGCTCTGGACATTTTTGGGTTTTCTGGTTGAAATACCTCTAAAGTGTTGCATGAAGAACAGGAACTGTAGTTGTGAAGTGGCAGACTTGGGGAGTGTTCCTAATTATGAAGAAACGGACAGGAGAATGTCTTCCAGCAATTAAGTGATTGCACATCCCAGTCTCCATGGGGAAGCTTAATCTTGGAGGTTGGAAATGAGGCTCCAACTGACCGTCCAAGCTCTGATTTCAAAAGAGCAACGTAGCTTTCGTCCTGGCATGGAAGAGTGGACAAGAATGTGTCATATCTGGGTTGCTTTTAACTGGTGCCCTGTCCTTGTATACCAAAACCAAAGCTGAGATGAGTTCTGTTTGTAGTGTTCATGGAAAGGATTTCAAGAAGTAGCATCAATATCTCACAGCAAACCCACCACAGAGTGGTGAAGAGTTAATGACATTTTCGACTCCAAACAGTAAACCTTTACCAGTTCATATCAGTGATGGTTCATAAAACACTCATGTGTTTGCATTTACTTAATTATCTGACTTTTCTTTTCGTTTTTTCTTTTTTTAAGTGTTGCATGTGGTCAGGACAAGGTCTCAGGACCTGAAATGGTCCTCATAAGAAGGCCCAGTAGAAACTGCACTTCCTGTGGTAACTCTTACAGTACAGGAGCTACTGGTCATTTTCTATACAACCATGATTCAGTCTGCCATGTGCTCATCCATCATTGTGTGGTTTGGCCCACCCAAAAAAAAAAAAAAAAACAAAAAAAAAAAAAAAAACATCAGTCAAGTTGTACATTTATTCCCATTTGTCATTTTCATATGCTAAAAAAAGGTACAGAAACTTTCCATTGGAATTTAACCCGTCAGACGTCCTGAAGAGATGGAATCTTTTTGTCTGTGAGCACGAGTTCTTGGCTTTTTCTTGCTGAGATGGAAATGTTTGACTGTGGCTGATTGTCCATGATAACACTTTAGGAATGTAGACACAACCTTGAAGTGTCTGGATAAAAAAAAAAAAAAAAAAAATACATGGTGTGTATCATTGTATTTTTCACTGACTCAAAAAACTTCAAACTTCTAAATTAGAAGATCCCAATTTGAAACTGCTCCTCCACTTCCTCAACACTTGATCTGTTATATGTTGTGTAGAGGGTCTCTGAAGTTGTGGACATTGGATTATTTTTTATGATTCCCTACAGCCGGGAAACGTCATTAGCCAATTTTAGCTACAGGGTGAGTCTTATTCAGATAGTGTGATGTGTCTTGACTCTTACCTTTTATCTTGTCATATACTGCTGCAGGTGAGACTTATCACCTTTTAGTCTGCTTACTAACCAGACTAAAACCTGCAAAATCATACAGTTTGGATGGCTACATTATTACACTTTCGTTTCCTGTTATGGTGCCGTTAAAAGAAACAGCCTTTCATTTCTGGAGCCTGTACCATTATCATAAAAGGCAACTTTGTAGTTAGTTCTTTACTTTTGGTTCAGTTGTAAAGCTTATTTACTTTTGGTTCCAACCTTGGATCCTAGGAATAATTAGACTGTCTTCTGGAAAGACTTGCACAGAGTTAAAATAGAATAAATATATTATATGAAACACATTTTGTTCTGTTTTTTCTTTGTAGGTCGTCTGGGGTTCCCTCACCCTGGGGCGGACAACCCTCTGCCCCTCAACGGTATGTATGGCAACCTAAACACATTCCCCAAAAGTCTACTTCCCCTGAAATTGAAAGATGAGTCATCAAAAGGATTTTATATGCAAATCACGTCGAGTGGGAAACATTAAATGAAGTGAAGATGTAATAATCATCATTTTGAGGCAAATGTGTAGTTTTTGTATAAAATTTAATATGCTTATAAGGATTTTAGACAGCAGGACTAAAAAGATGTAATTTTTTCCCTGAGCTTTTGTTTAACGCAATTGG